CTGACCAGTGGTAAGAACTCTTCCCTTACAGTGGTGGTCACATTGCCACCCTTACAGTCATGCCTCCGGCTCTGCCAAGTAGTGCTGAACCTAAAACGATGTAGGCATTAATCACATTGGGTGTAAGTTAGCCACAGCTCAAGGAAAGCCTAGCCACCTCTATAGCAGTCGTGGAGTTCCACAGAACCCTGGTTGAGAATGGCAGGTCTATGCTTTCAGAAAAGGATCTAACTGCATGTGGTGGGAATGGGCCCTTACAATCTTCCCTTTTAACAGCAGACTCCATGCTGCATGTAATTACCCTTCTCCTTTTCAGCAAAAACAAAACCAGAAAGAGTGAAGTTCTGGATGGCGCTATAGTCAGAGAGCCCCTTTACACTTGAGCATTGTAGCAATCCTCCATGTGCAGTGTGAATGGCACCCCAATGCATTGTACAGTAGAGCACAACTCATATTGCACTGTGATGTAGTGCATTTTGGAAAAAAAAAAAAAAAATGTAATGCCCAATTTTTTTTTCTTTTTTTAAGGCGGTTGTGGTTTGTTGGGCTACTTTATCGCAACGCACGTTAACATGTCATACCATTCCAGCATGAATGCACCACAATGGATTGCTTTCATGTGAATGGGTCCTCAATCTGTAGAGTCACGGCTTAGGAAATAACTTGCTTGACTGGTGATGTACGATGACATCCTGACTTGATAGTACTACCTACCGCCCAAATGTAACGGTGGCAACCCTCAACCCCCCTCAGTTTTCTTGTATGGGGAACATCTCTCCCTGCCCACAACAATGCATTGCTTATAGTTTTGCTAGTCCTAAGCACTGCCATATGGAGGGAGTGCCTAAACCTAATCAAATATTGATTTTCATGGATTTGTAGGAGCGGGGGCCTTCACATTGGCACTGTAAAGGTTGGTGGTAGCACTGATGGGCTCTGCTTAGATTGTAGAGTCTGCTGTAAACGACACTAAGCATTTTATTGCTGTACTGTATACAAATCAGATATAACTGGGGCCTAATACAGTATTGATGGTAATTACTGACAAAGAAAAAAACATTAAATTCAGACAAGTTTGGATGTCGTAGCAAAATCTGGGTAGTTGTTCATCCTCATGATTGGATACTTCTGCATTTGGAATGTGATATAAAAAGGTCATATTTTTCTGTAGTACACTATTCCTCTTCCATGTTCCCCACATTCAAAATGTTCCAATTGAAGATACAGAGATAACATTTTAAGTGCAATCTACTTTCTTAAAGTTTTCCTTTTACTGCACCCAGTAGAGTCCGCCATCGTGCCGGCTGAAGGCTTACTCTAGAGATATTAGCCAATCACAAAGAACCAGTGACCACCATGCCAGTGGTCCAGTGACCACCAACGGCACGGAATCACATATATCACCAGTTTCTTAGCTTAGGCTACTTCAGTCCAAACCATGGCTATTGAAGTACTGGGGGCACTAAGGTTTGTGCAAGCCACTGTATTATGCTTCCAATTATTTACTGAGGTGTAGAGCGTAGAAGCTGCTTACTGGTAAAAGAGAAATTCAGTAAAGCGGTAATAAAACCAAACGCAAACATTTACTATTTTGCAGCTTACCAACTAATTAAATGTGATGCCTGCGTTAGTTTTCTTTTTTAGGCTTTCTTTACTTTATTTTAAGCTGCTGACCTGGCCAATAAGCCTCTTGGTTTTCAAAAGAGCAAGCCTTTTTGCAGATGTAGCAGTTAGAGAGTTGAGACAAACCATTTACTACTGACAGGGGTGCCTACAATGATACCAAAAGGAAAAAAAAACCTGTTGCTGTATCTACTTACAAAAAAGTGTTAGTTGGAGTTTATCTAGTTGTTAGTGTAACTAAACCTGCTAGTACATCTAACGCTTCCCTCCCCCCAGATTAGCAATGCTGCTGTGTCCAAATGTGCCCCTTGTGCTCCTTCATCCAGAGTGTTGGCACGGTAATACCGGTGGTGTGTTACTGGCCAGATCACCAGGTGAAAAAAAAAAGCCTAAAAAAACCAGAAAACTTAATACAGCTACCACATCCAATGATAGGTAAGCTGCAATATATTATATTTTTTATTTTGGGTTTAATACCGCTTTAAGCTTCATTTGATAGATTTGGGGTAAAGTAAAAGTGAATGGTTAATGGAAAGTATCTCCTTGGCTGAACTGAAAAGCTTCTATACAGCATTGGAAGGGTAAGAGTGCCATAAAGCTTAAGTCCAGTAAGAATTTTATTGTATAATAATGCAAGACCAGAAAAACCAACGCATTTCAGGGGCTCAACTTTTCCTTCATCACGGCTTGTGTGTTGGCAGGGTGTTCGGATCTATACTGGACAACATTTGCAAAACCAAACTGGATTTCACGAAAACGATCCAGGTCAATAAGCTGATAAGCTGTCAGTTTAGCAATCTGAAACATTTTGGTAATATCCAGTTTAATTTTGCAATTGCTGTCCAGTATAATTCTGAACTCCCGGCCACACATAAGCCCCGAAGAAGGGGGAGTTGAGCCCTGAAACATGTTGGCTTTTCTGATCAGCATTGGAAGGATGAGAGTGCCATAAGGCTTAAATCCAATAAGTATTCTATTTTATCATGACGCAGGACCAGCAAAACCACCACATTTCGGGAGCTCAACTTCTTTCACCAGCACTTGTGTGCTAGCTGGAAGTTTAGATTTATGTTAGACAACATTTGTAAAATAAAACTGGATTTCAACAAAATGATCCAGATCACTAAACGGGTAGGCTGTTGGTTCAGCAAGCTGGAGCAATTAGATGATATTCAGTTTAATTTTTTCAATTGCTGTCCAGTATAAGTTTGAACTCCTGGTCAGTACATAAGCCATAATGAAGGGGGAGTTGAGCCCTGAAAACGTGTGCACTGTTATGAAATACAATTCTAACTGGACTTATTCAAGTAGTACTCTCATCTGCCCCAATGCTCTATAGACTGCTTTGGGATACCCCAGTTGACAGAGCTGCCTCTAAAAACTAGCTCCTGGTTTCTGTCTACTTTGGGGTCCAGTTTTCCGCCAACACATACCTGATTTGAAAGGCTTGGGCACTCTGAAAATTCAGGTTCCTTTGACCTTCACACACTCCTGGCCTCTGAAAGCCCCTCTGTGTAGTTGGGAAGTCCCTACAAAGGTCTATGGTTCCTTTGACCTTCACACACTCCTGGCCTCTGAACGCCCCTCTGTGTAGTTGGGAAGTCCCTACAAAGGTCTATGGTTCCTTTGACCTTCACACACTCCTGGCCTCTGAACGCCCCTCTGTGTAGTTGGGAAGTCCCTACAAAGCTCTATGGTTCCTTTGACCTTCACACACTCCTGGCCTCTGAACGCCCCTCTGTTTAGTTGGGAAGTCCCTACAAAGGTCTATGGTTCCTTTGACCTTCACACACTCCTGGCCTCTGAACGCCCCTCTGTTTAGTTGGGAAGTCCCTACAAAGGTCTATGGTTCCTTTGACCTTCACACACACCTGGCCTCTGAACGCCCCTCTGTTTAGTTGGGAAGTCCCTACAAAGGTCTATGGTTCCTTTGACCTTCACACACTCCTGGCCTCTGAACGCCCCTCTGTGTAGTTGGGAAGTCCCTACAAAGGTCTATGGTTCCTTTGACCTTCACACACCTGGCCTCTGAACGCCCCTCTGTGTAGTTGGGAAGTCCCTACAAAGGTCTATGGTTCCTTTGACCTTCACACACTCCTGGCCTCTGAACGCCCCTCTGTTTAGTTGGGAAGTCCCTACAAAGGTCTATGGTTCCTTTGACCTTCACACACTCCTGGCCTCTGAACTCCCCTCTGTTTAGTTGGGAAGTCCCTACAAAGGTCTATGGTTCCTTTGACCTTCACACACTCCTGGCCTCTGAACGCCCCTCTGTTTAGTTGGGAAGTCCCTACAAAGGTCTATGGTTCCTTTGACCTTCACACACTCCTGGCCTCTGAACACCCCTCGGTGTGGTTGGGAAGTCCCTACAAAGGTCTATGGGGAAAACTACTTAAAGGATGATGCAGATTAGTGCTCAGGGACAACAACTCAGCCAACTGTACAAAAGCATTTAAGCTTTTGAGCTCAGCCAGGGAGGCAATTTACCACTTTCCCTTACCCCCACCAAATCTAATCCTATCTTGAGAAGGCTAACAGAACAATGAATTAAGAAGGGGCATAATGCAAGGTCTAAGCATCATTGCCAGCTGGCCCTTAGATGGCATGGCACACATTAACGCCAGGTATAGCCTTCTTTCTAGCGGGCTCGATGCAGTCGTGGCATGAGGCCACAAGCCGCGGTGGTGGAATAGCACATCATGGAGGGCTGAAAAGAGACCAAAATCCAAGCCTCCATTTAAATAAATATTTTGCTGGTTGAGCCAGTTCACCTATAAAATTTACATACATCTAGGACAATGTTCCCTAATAAAATTTTTTTAAATAAAGGTCATGAACCACCAGCTTTGTTGCGCCCTCACACCTCAGTAAGTAAACATACATTCTTTCATACAATAAGGCACCTAAATCACGCCTCCTCAAATGCGATTTTGCAAACAATGCGTTTCACAGCCTTTCCTGCGTTCATGCACTAACGATTAAAATAGACTCTTTAGAAGATATAGGTATATATTTATATCTAGCTTTTTAGATATTTACATATTTATATATTTATGAAAACTCTTATGTACAATGTACAAAATATATATATTTTTTTCTTTCTCACTACTTACAAGTCTTTTGCATTTTTGTGCCGTAAATGCAGTTAGACGTTTTGAGCTACCAACACTTAAAAGTCCATAAAGTACTTTGACTTTCAGCCCAGCGATACGTTGTTGGGGTTCTTCCTTAGCCCCACAGTAACGTTTTGATTCGTACCTCATATTTTTTCCTTTTTACCCCTCTATTAGCAACTTAAGGGGTTGAGGTAGACGGATCTTTACTGGTTCAGTGCAAAATGTTAAGTCTTTATTTCTTTTTTACTCCTTTGCACATAGCAGTCATTTGGAATCGTCTGATCCACTGTGTGGCTTGTGCTGGGCAGTCAATGCGTGTCCATTAGAGAGCAGCGTCCCTTTGGCTGCCCCCTCGTGGTGAGGAGGTTCTGCTAAGTGTGATTTTTGCTGTAGAAAACAGTCCTGTGCTGAAGGCTGGTGATATAAATCTGGAGGAGGCGACCTGATTAATGGCTCTAGGTGTGAACCTGTAAAGACAGTAAGTAAATAAGATCAATACTAAGAGGAAGTTTAACCTGCTTAAACTTTGCCTTCCTCAGTTCCTCCCTTTCCCCTCATCAACATGCATTTTTAAATTAAAACCTTATCACTTTCATTCTATACTTTATTTTGATTCAGTGATCTCATCACTGGTTCTCTGTGCTTCTCTATGCAATGCAGGCAGGTCATATGGTGGGATGGTTTGGCAGGGTCCTAATTCCTGATGCAAGCAGTGACTGGCTCTTTGAAGGAGTTATGCAAATATCAAACTGCCTTACTGGGTGAGTGTCAGTCTGGAGGAGTGGGCGTTCCTAAGCAGGCTGTATTTGCATGCAGACTACCCCAGGTGATGCCCACATGTAAAACTGAGTCTTTATGATTTAAAATGATTATAAAAAGGTATAAAGCATCATGTTTTATTAAAATAAAATAAAAAAAAAAACAAACATGTTATACTTATGTGCTCTGTACAATGGTTTTGTATAGAGCAGCCCTGATCCTTCTCTTCTCAGATCCCCCTGCTGGCACTCCTGTCTCCAACACCCCCCCCCCCCCCCCCCCCCCCCCCCCCCCGTGCACCCATAGCAAGTCGCTTGCTATTTGGTTTGGGCATTCATGTGTGCTCGCTTCCAATCCGGTTCTGTGTCTCTTGAGCCCCACCCCCTGCTCCCTCCTCACTAGCTGTGATTGACAGCAAAGGGGCCCAATGGCTCTCACTGCTGTCTCTGAGCCAATGAGGAGGGAGAGAACCTCTGCTCTTTTGCACATAAGAGCACTGGATCAGGACTGAGCTCAGGTAAACATAAGTGTGCATACAGGTGGTTGAAATCCAATTAAAGGGGTGGTCCAGGAACAGACAAGTTGGGGGGAAAGGGCTAGACCATTTTAGGGGAAGACTGTTAGAATAAATGGTCTGCTGCAAAGGTCTCATTAAGTATGTTGGCAGAAAGGGAAAAAGTCTTGCAATTACCTTGTGAATCCGACACCAACACGTGTGTCTGGTGTTCACTCAAGAAAGGAATCCTTTCGTGATTGCTGGGGTACACAATTTCACAGGCATCCATCTTGTTGTAGCTGACAGCCCCCGGGTTCTGATGACAGTTTGGTGTTGTAGAATGGTCAATGCCATTTCTGTAGCCATCGTGGCCATTCCTAGGTCTTTCATATGAACAGTCTAGAGGTGGTAATGTCTGTGGACAATAGTCGGGGTCCTTGGTGTACATAGCGCGGCCTTCTAAGCAGTCCGTACACACAACCTGGTATCCATAACCTGCATTGACAGAAAAGGGAGACTCTTAAAGGACTAATTAGGATATCCTGGACTGACAAATCTATATCATGTATGAGTGCACACTGGTAATAAAGATAATAGATCAATCTGTCACTTAATAGCTCCTCTCCAGCAACACAGAGCTCACCTTTTCTTGCTCCCTGGCCTCTATGCTTGGCTGCCAGCAGCAATAAAAGGAAGCTCTGTATAAGCCCAGATTCTGGTTAGAGCTTGCACAGGACTGAGCTGCACCCCCATGTAACAGTGCTAAGCCAAATGTAAAGTTATGGGGAGCCAAGAAGATACTGGATACCTTCGAACTTGAGTCATGTGACTCGCTCCCCTTCCTTTAATGGGACAGAACTGGTAACTAGACCATCACTGTTGCTTGGGAGTAGGAAGGCAGTTTCCAGCCCTTTGTAAGCTCTAACTGGAGAGACTTGGAGCTTACACAGGACTTCCTTTCCTAAATGGAGCAATAAAAGGGTAATAGGGTCGATGGTTTGAATCCCAACCACAGCACTACCTGCCTGGAGTTTGCATGTTCTCCCTGTGCCTACGTGGGTTTCCTCTGGGTACTCTGGTTTCCTTCAACACTCCAAAGACATGTTGGTAGGTTAATTGGTTCCTGTCCTAATTAGCTTTAGTATGTGTATGTATGAATTTGAGGTAGTGACCTTAGATTGTAAGCTCCTTTGAGAGCAGGGACTGATGTGAATGTATAATGTGTGTGTAAAGCGCTGTGTAAACTGCCGATGCTATACAAGTGTTGCTGGAGACAGGAACATTAAAGAGAACCTGTTGCTGTATCCTGCATGGGAGCACAGGTTCTCTTTCAAAAGCTTATATGTATGCTTTGTTCATAGTCCAGGATATCAGTTACCTGGGCTTTCTGTGCTGAACAATCCACTGGCTCTTTGACAAGGTTCGACGGAGTTGCATCCTACACAGGGCCGCGGCTGTCTATGGCCAATATTACAGGCCTCCACATCAGTATTCCCAGTGCCGTCGCTGGAACAGATGCCTGTAATGAGAGACCAGCCTGTCATTCACCACACAGAATGAGAAATAGTGATTAGCCCCTGCAATGGAAGTAGAAGCTGGAATTTTATTGGTGTGCATCACAGACACTTTCAGGCCTAACATTTCTATAGCTTTTAATACATTTTATTTTAAATAACTTTCACACGAATTTTGGTACAAAAGTTAGTACGAAGGTTCTCAGTACGTTTGAGGACATGATGAATGTCGTTTGAAAGTACGTCCAAATTTTGTTTGTTTTCGGAAACAAATAGTGGAACGATGAATTTTCCCAAATGAAAACTACACACATGGTTAGAAATTTGTTTGTTTGAGAAAAGTTTTAATTTTGCTTCTTCGAATTTTCTTGTCATTGCAGTCGAAAATGAATGCCAATTGTACCCCACTAACACTTAACGATTCGTTTGGGCCAATTGCACATTCTAAGCATGCTATAATAACTGTATGTAGTCACAGCTAAATTCAGTATACAGAACAGTGTTTTGGCAGTGGGACTGGAAATTCCCAACCTGCTCCCAGAGCTGCTTAGCCATTCGCAGGGAGCTTTGTATTCTTGAATGAATACCAAGATTCCTGATTGGCTGATGTCGTGTTTGTAGCTTCATCCTCCTGCCTCTGCCAATCAGAGGAAGCTTTATATTCATTCACAGTATACAAAGTTTCATGTGAGTGGCTAAGCAGGAGCTGCTTGGTCCAAATGAACCATTAAAAGGGACATTAAATGTGGAGTTAGGCTTTATTTCATCATTTTAATCACTGTATTTATTCTGGATCATACCTTGAGAAGACAGGTAACTTGGCACATCTGGAGGAACAATGGTTTCGTCTGTAAAACACAAGAAAGATTGTTAAAAATGTTTATTTTACCCATAGTTTAATCTGCAAAGTTGAAGTCCACACTTTGTTACATTGATTATATAATTATCTGAAAATCAGACATATTGACAAGCATTTCTAGGAGAAAAAAATTCATAATTACACCAATCCCCTTCAATCAAAGAGAACCAGTCCTATAAGCCAAGCAAGCCTCTGTGGCATAACACTCTGCTGTTATCTTAACATGTTTCAGGCAGGAGGTGCTGAAGCATGGCAAGAGGAGGAACTCACAAATTTAGTGTTCACATGTGAGGTGACAAAGGAAAGCTCTAAACAATTGTACCAACCTTTAGATACATGGCATAACAGGGATCTGTGAATATGTGCAGTTTTGTTTCAGAATATTTAAATCTGTTCTGCAACAAATACAAATATTTTAGCAGGTAAAGCAAACCTGTGCTTTGTCTGTAGAGGGCAAAGTAATAGGCTTGCTTTAATAACCCCTTCCCCAGCAACACATACTCTTCTTCGCTCCCCTACCTCTCAATTCAGCCACGGAGAGTAAACATAACATCAGGTACTTCCAGGTGTGGTGGAGCCAGTGACTCACTCTCCTTCCTTTCATTGAGCAGCACTGGTGCTTATGACTGGCTTAGAGTTGTCACACAGCGGTGGAAAGCTCCAGGAGCTGAATGGGATTAAGGGTAGTCAGGGGGTGGGGCATTTAAAAGGAAAGATATGTAAAGCAAACCTGTTGCTTTTCCCTCCATGAACAAAGCACACTTCAGATTAAAGCTGGAGGGCTCTGCAGGTCAGTTCTCCAATAGCTCCCCCTGCTCTAAAAATCTGGAGATGTTTCTAGAAGCCAGTAGACGGGGGTGAGGAAGGGTTGATCTGCATACTTAGGGGAATCTTGCCAATCTGTGGGCAGGAGGTCTGGCATGGTAGCTAGGTCAGCCCTTAAATATGAGAGAGCCTGGTCAGTAGGGGAGTAGAGTGGAAGATGGAGTGAGGAAGTGCTGCTAGTGCGGAGACTGGGGGGGGGGGGGCCCCAGAGGAGGGGGAGGTGGTATTTTCATCTGGGGTCTGAGGAGGTTCATTTAAGGGGACCAAATGCTCCTTGCAAAGACTGTGTGCTGATTTTTTTTTCCTTTTTGTGCCTACAAAGTTGTCTTCTAAGTTTTTTCAGTTTCACTGGGCATCCCATATACCCTATCCAAGTTGTTAACCCCTAATAAAACAACAAAAAACAAACTCATCCACAGTCAGTAAACCGTACATGAAAGTGTGGAAAAACTCAGCGGCCCTCAAGAGTGTAGCAATATATATTATATATATCTCTCTCAAAAGAAAGAGGGCATTCTCGGTTCTGCCTCAAAGCAGCTTGCCCTTTGACACCGTTTATTACACCAAGAGTAAAAAGAAAAAAAAAAAAAAATGGTGGAGAGAAGGTAGCAACCTAAATGGACAGAAGCCAAGATGATCTGAAGGTTACCTGTATTGGTGACGCTGTACTCCTCGCTCTTCTTTCGGGATTGGTAGATGATGCACACCCACACAAGAGACGTTAAAACGATGCTACACACAACAGCGATGGTGATGATTCCGAAAGTCATGGTCCCCTCCATTTTACTGGACTCCAACACACAGCCGCCCGAAGTAGGGAAGATACTAACTTGGCTGTAAGCACGCTCTGTCCCAAGTGTGTTGGACATCTCGCAGGTATATTTCCCGGCATCTTCCTGTACCACGTTTCGTATGATGAGCAGCTGGTTACCGGGTGTGAAATGGTGCCTGTCTGTTACTATGATGGGCTCGTCTCCTTTCAGCCATGTTATCCGTGGTGGAGGGCTGCCGTTAGCTTTGCACTGTAACGCTAACGTGGCCCCAGCAGAAACCATGCGGTCTTCTAGTGGATGAGCCAAAAATGGCATCTCTGAAAAAGAAATGTTGGGAATTTTTGGTTACCATCTTGTTTCTAAGCAATGCAAAACATTATAAAATCAGAACTATGTAATATAGGTTATGAATTCCACTCAAAGGAATAATTTGTTATTGTTATCTTCAACCTTGAGGCCACTCAGTTCCTCCACAAGGCAGTATTCTAAAGATATTTAGGGCACCTAAAAATAGCAATGCAGATTAATTTCTGATGTGCAAGTGACAAGATCAGCGAATGATCAGTAAATATGCTCACAATTTCAGTAATGACGCTGATCTGATTGGACTACCTGCCCAACACCATGCAGGAAAAACAAATTTACGGTGCGTGAAAGAAGTCTGAAGGATATGGATCTTTTATTTAACTATGAAGGCACTGGATAAACCCACAGGCAAACAGCCAAGGACCAAGGTCCACAAAACCCACTGGCCTCTGTTTAACAAAGCAACCTTTAAAAGAGCAGTACCTTTTAAAATCTGAAATCTGATTGGCTCTACAAAAGCATAGTCGTTTTTCTTTTTTTGATATAACAAATTCAAAACCTTTTGTAGTTTGTCCTTTGTTGGAACTTTCACAAAACTTACCGAGTATAGTCAGTGTTGCATTCGCAGACAGTGATCCGGCAGAATTTTGGGCCGTGCAGCTGTAGACTCCCCTCCATATCCTCGATTTTGACATCTGTAATGAAGAAGACATCATCTTCGGGCATAACATGCATGCGCCGCTCCCGAGCGGCAGGGAAGTCTGTGCCGCCGTCTTTCTGCCACGCAATCTCTGGGGTGGGGTGGCCATCTGCTGCACATTCTAGCCTGGCAGTTGTACCTGTCCGTATGGTGTTATCTCTTGGAGTTTTGATAAATGATGGCAGAACTAGGTTTAAAAAAAAAAAATCAAGTGAGTTGTGTGCAGATAATGAAGATAAGAAGAGCCACAGAATAAATAATATATTTACAGTTTACTGTCCCTACTACAATCTCACATACATCAATCACCCAATCCGTTGCAACCAAACATCTTTCTCTCAAATTTATTAAAAAAAACAGTGAAAATGAACACATTGGCTTTCTTATATAAGGACAAGTATTCTGTAAACTAAGACATAATGCATTTAGTGGAAATGTCCTAAAAGTGAGGGGAAATCCCCACCATAGACAGCTGTCCATGTCAACAGGTGTCGGCTTTGAAACATTTCTTCTCACCTCCTGTTCTGGGTGAATTGTAAAACTTTGGATGCATCATCACTTCTACACCATCTGGACAAATGGTGTGAGAAGATACCCTTTAGCTGGGGACATAGTCAGCAATAGAAATCTAGGTTGAACAAGCAAAATTGAATGGCCGCACTCCATTGTAATCCACCATGGACTTTTTAGATCCAGAAAGACCATACAAACCCAGCCTGGACCCTTCCACTCAAATGTGTCTACCTACTTAAGCTTTAAGGAAAGGGTCTCTACAATGAAAGCCAATAAGTGGGTGGAGTGCAATCAAGAAGGAGGATCTAGGCTGGGTTTATATGGTCTTTCTGGATCCATAAAGCTAATTTGAGAAGCTGAATAACATGAAGCAACATCCTTGTTCATCTTTAAATGTTTGACCAGGAACAGGAGTGGGACACACTCTAGAGAGGCACTGGCACACACAAAATTGGAAGATACTGGGTCACGGTTGAGAGTGCCACTGATCTTTTCTTTGGATTGCAACAGAAATCGTACAAGGATTTTAACACTTCTCAGTCAATATGTTTTCACTGTCGTCCTATTTTGACATAACATAATGGTCCAATTGGCTCTCACCATTCACAACCAGCCCGGCTTTATTTGAGTACGTGGAACCAAAGTGGTTGGTGATGATGCACTGGTACTGCCCCTCGTGTTCAAAGGTGACATTACGCAAGTGCAGAATGGTGGTGTAGACCATCACGTCTCCATCCTTCTCCCTGATGTTGGCAAAGTTTTCCATTTCTGCGTTGTGCAGGATTTCATTGTCTTTCTTCCACACAAATGTCATGGACGAGCTGCTGCTGCTAGCAGCCAAACAGGAGAAGCGGATGTCTTTTCCCAGCACCGCCATAGTCTTCTCTGGCTGTAACGTGATGTGTGGTTTAGGCAGATCATCTAAAAGAAAAAAAAAATGGTAGACCATCATTGTGTGACCATAAATGACCTGGTGTTGTGTATCGAAGACTGAGACAAGAAACCAGATTGTAGTTTGTTTTATCCACCCTAGGAAACACACTGACTACTTCCTCAACACAACCAAAAAAAAACAAACCACTGAACAGTATACATTGCTCACACAGCTTTGTAAAGTAAGTGTATCACATAGAATTACTACAGGTTCAAATTAAAAAAAAAACAAAAAAAACTTTAACACAAAGATAAGTATGTGACTGTACTTTTCAAATCCAATAAGACTCAGGTGAAAATAACTCACTTTTTTTAAAATAAGGCTACTTATCCTAGTGTGTTAGCTTTGTGAATTAAGACTTAATCACTGTTATATACTACCCACTGCTGATATGCTAAGTCTACAACAGTTTCTGGTCTATTGGCCTACAATGTGTGACAAAGTAGTTTCTCATGCTGAAATTATTTTATTCATTCATGACATACAAATGTGAAAAGAGGTAGATGGATGATGGCAAAATGACTCCTGCTGGCTTTCAACAGGGTCTGCCAGTAATTTCATTTGGCTACTCACACAGTACAGCTTAAGCTGTTTGCCTTCAGACCCTCTCTCTCTGACTTAAACTACAGTCCCATCTGAACAAGAGAAAAGGAGAGCAGCCTTCCCTAGTTCACTCAGTCACGTATGTAAATGTTAGCTTACGCATAGGTGTATTGGCCATGAAATGTAATAAAAGATATAGTGCCTTATATTGATTTCCCCTGATGAAGTCACATGACCCATGACGCAACATGTAGGGGAGGGGCTCTGACATCACAATGCTTAAAGCAACATACAGCAAGTATTGAGCAATATTGAAAAACTGTGGATTCAAATTTTAACTTTTAATGCGGCTTTAACTTGTAATACATGTGAGTGCACTACTTTACTTAAATAAATTAACTTTCAAAGAGGATAAGGCACTATATCTTTTAATACATTTCATGGCCAATACACCTATGGAAGCAAGGAGACCCCCTACTGGGAATAGGGATACTCTCGTCCAACCATTCGGCTCCAGGAAAATCCATAAGGAAGCAAGGGGACCCCCTGCTAAGAAAAGGGAACACTCCATCCATCCATCCCCCAGGGAAAGAGTGGTAAATGGATAGGATTATCCCTAAATCCAAATAAAGGGACACAAGCTTTTTAGGACCTCACTTAACGGTTTGGTCATATACATCAGGTGAGAACACAACCGGTGAAGGTGCACAATTTATTTTTTAAGCTTGGTGAACTGCACGGTTATTATTTCGAATCACAGCAATAGAAGAAGTACCAAAGGCACGGACTCATTAAGGACAAGACTGTAGTAGCAATATAATTGCAGTGATATTGTTACATATGCTTTTGATGCGGGACTTTTATTTATTAATTTAACACTTATTCACTCAATCTTTGCAATTGTCAGTGGAGCGCGACACTATTTCTGATTTTATGCTACAACCTATCCTTGATATTTGTTCTGTAATACAATGGAACCCTAAGCTCACATCCTGTATAAAAAAAAAGAAAGAAAAAAAAAAAAAAAAAAAGACGAGGGGGGGGGGGGGGGGGGTTAAAGTAATCAGCCTTCTCCCAGGTGATGTTATTCCCTACAATAGATCCCCTTCACATATGGCAAGTTTATAGCACGAATGACGAATCTCTGTTTCAGCAAGTTCCTCTCGGAATGCACAAATTAGTAAACAAAATAAGCAGCGCAAAACGTTCCAATCCGCGTACCTTTCTACAACAATAACAGATATAATGAAGGTTGATCTCTGTGTACCTTGTTTCAATTAAATCTTTTTGTTTGTAGCCTCAATCTGTGGGGGATTAATTGTGTGTTTTCAGCTGTCCAGCGCTGCAAGCCAGCTGGACCTCAAAGGGGTGAAATTCTTGGATTTGGGTGTGAGCGGCAATCAGCACATGTGAGGCACATACTGTATGTGTCTTTAGGAGGGTTTGTTGTGTTTTGTGTATTTCCAGGCAAGGCAGGGTGGGCTATTTTGGTTTGGACAATTTTTTTTTCGCTGTCCTCCACCACTTCATTCAGTCTAAGACCGACTTACTAAAATTCAGGTAAGCTATTTTTTTTATATCACGTAGACAGCTACTGATCTTTTAAAAAAAAAATAAAACATTTGAAACTACACAAGATATAATTCATAATAAATTATTGGAATTAAAATGTATCAAACAGTAAAGCCGGCCATAGATGCTTCAAATCTCGGCTGGTTCAGAGATTCGAAGTCCATACATCAATGGACTTGGGTACAACCAGTAGCGCCCCCCACCCCCTTCTGGGAGATCACAATAGCTCCGCGGAAGGGATTCCGCCATCAATATTGACTGTGTTAATAGGGGAATCAAGCCATTTTCTCTCCTGCAACCCATAGTTGCAGAAAAGAAAATCGTACCATCTATAGCCTGCCTAAGGTATATGTGTCTGAAATTCAGAGTTTGCACACAATTTATCGGATAAAATGCTCAGACAAGTATCTAAACTCCCATAATTATTATGTGTGTATACCAGCCTCTCTCAACCTTTTTTACCCCTGAGGAATAATTGAAAAAATGTTCAAGTTCTCAGGGGGCACCTTCTATAAAGGAGTGTACCTATAGTTCCTGGGGGCTTTAGCTCTGAGGAAGGGGATACGTCCCTGAAACACATCAGCAAGCTGACCTCACGACCAGTCAGGTACTCTGCCATCATGTTGGGCCATCTCAATGGTTTTACAGTCTTTTATATGCATCTAATTTTGTGAGTATGTTTTTTTTCGTTTTTATATTTTCAATAAACCTTGGATAATGCGCTAGGTATTTGCACCCCCTGTGTGCTTCTTTTTACAGTTCCTGGTATGTTAACGTGATCAATATGTTGAAAAAGACTTTACAGAAAAGAATAAGTAATGTGGCATACCTAGCATATTAGACACCTAGAGCAGATGATTGGTGTTGGCAAACCTCCACAAAATGTTTTTTTGTTAAATAACCAATAATAGTAGAAAAGAACTATAGATCGTAAAAGCTGTGGTGTAGACCCCTTGCATTGGTGGTTAGTGTAGGTGAGTGAGCGATCCACCACTGTTCACTGCTCAAGAACACCTAGCAGCCTCAGGAGGAACCGTGGTTGAGAAACACTGGTGTACACAATATATTGATTGATCTTCCTTCCATGCCCATATAAACATACTTGGAACAGCTGGGGTACCTAAGCACCATACGTTTACTCTACCCATTAGAAAGTTAGAAATCATGACTCGTTAGACGCTATCTATAAGTGAAATGACACTTTGGATGGATTGAACTTTTTAACTTGCAAGTCTGAATACTTGTGTGCATTAAAGTCTCCATTGCCATCTTAGGGCAGCAATAGACTATCAGCTAAACAACTTTAACTCCAATCATAGGCTTTCCATTTACAAAGCCGTAGTGCTGTGTATGCAATAGACTGTATTAAGTAAACCTGGGCTTTGCTCATGCAAAGTAAAGCAACAGAATTACTTTTCTTTGCTCCTGTGTCGCTCCTTTGGGAGTAACCAGATGAATCCCTATGTAGGTTCCAAGTCACTGCAGTCAAAATCAGGGCTAAGGACGGTCATTTCTGCTCTTCTGAGACAGAACTTGGCCTGCTGATTGGCAGCTCATGCACCCAG